CAGGGAAAATCTGGAGGAAGGTGGGGTTGTGCCATGCTAAATGGTGGCATGTACGGCGGAGTGGGAGAGGCTCAGAGCAGCAAACGCTGTACACTGTTCTACAGTAAGCAAGTGTGTAAAATTACTGCTTTACTACAGTCTAACAAACCTATCTATTGAGTGTACAACTCACCTCAGTTCTTCATTAATTTACTGCCACTGTTTAGTAGTAAACCAGTTGCTTTTCTCGTGTGTGCAGCATACTTTCTTAATATTTTATTTCTTTAACTGTTCAAATAAAAGATGCCAAGTTTAGCTAATAGTGCTGAACTGCGGTAACTCTTAATCTCCACTAGAGGCCGCTACAGGCGCTGTGTGTAGAGTCAAAAACCGTGAAAGGTTTCAATAATTTCGACCACGCAGCTGTATTCTCTGGAGCATTTTAAAACATTTTTAGCTCCGTAATGTTTCACTCAGCTTGTCTATGTCACTGTGTATATGTCCCTATAAAGTAAACTTACAAACTAAATAAATAAATAAATAAATAAGACAGTGAAACAGACCTTTGGAGACTTGTAATTAAATTAAATGAAAAGAGTGTTTGGCCATTGTTACATTTAGGGTGAAAAGGGGGCAAACTATAATTCTTTAAAACCCCAATCTCACTATGAAGTATGAGGGTGGCATTATCATGTTTTGTGTGTTTTCTTGTATAGGAGGACTGGTGCAAAAGTGTATAAAATATTTATTCTTAATTCTGCTATTTGATATATTAAAATTATTTTTGGCAACCCTGGCTGACCTAAACCGGAAAAAATTTAATCAGATTTAATAATGCAAAGAAAAAGTATTTTTGAACAGTGAATATAACTTTCAACCAGGTGACAAACATGTATTTTTCTATATATTTATTATTTTCTTTTTCTTATAATTTAGCTAAAGATAGCAGTTCAGTTTAACAAGAACAAAATCAGCACAAAAAAAAGTCTAATGAGCCTTATGTCTCAGCAATAATGTACAGTATATTGTTGGAGGCAGCAAACTTTGATTAGATGCAAATTATTCCTTGCATTTAAATTAAAAATGTCTTCACTTATTTCTATTTTGGAGAAGCCCTTTCCTTTACAACTTTCTAACTCAGCTACTGTGGCACAAATAGAGGATTTATGAGTCACAGCTGAAGATGAGCCAAGAGCGTCTCCTGGTGGACAAATTGTTGTAGTGCAGCTAAAAATTATGATTACATCCTCACACTATAATTCAATGTTTTTCGACCCTAAAGGCATGCTGCCCTGCATGTTTTATACGTTTCCCTGCTTCAGGGCACCTGATAGCAATTAATGGTGTTTGTCTTTGACAAAGTGGATTTTTATCTGTCAGACCAGATTAATCTAGTTTATTTTGAAAAGATAGGCTGAAGGAGGCTTTAAGCAAAGTTTTTTTCTGGTCAACAATAATAATAATAATAATAATAATAATAATAATAATAATAATAATAAAAAAACACTTGATAATAAAAATCAACAGATGCTAAATTAGGTCACATTTTAAGACATAGCTAAATCCTTACAAAGGATTACCCTCCTACAAAAGAACTTCAGATTCTGTGATATTGCAATCAAAAACTTCAGTGACTCTTCTAATCAAATCCCCCTAAAATAACATCTGGCTGAACCAGTTGCCTTGAAAAGTTACATAATTAGTAATCCAAGTCCCTGATCAAAGAACAACTTATGAGACCCGTCGTAACTCTGGTTGGAGAATCTGGTTATTCACCCTACAAATCTGAACTTTATGGAAAAGGCTCCTTCCTTCATAAGGCTCTTATTGAAAGAAAGCCACGAGAAGTCTTGTATGCCGTTTACCACAAGCCATCTGACAAACTGGGCAAATATCTGGAACAATGTGCTCTTGTCATAAGATAAGACATGAACCGAACTTTGTAGTCTACATGAAAATCGCTTTGCATGGTCGAAACTAACACTGTCTGCACGTCATCTTAAACACTCTACCCCATCTCATGCTGGTGGCAGCATCATGCTTTGTGGAGGCTTTTCTTGAGCAGGGAAAGAGAGGTGAAGCGGCGGGAATACTTCAGCAAACTGTAAATCAATCAAACTGCATCTTCTTTGCACTCATGCCGCACTAAAACCGACGACAAACAAGAAGGCAGTTGAAAAGCTGCAAACTAATGACACTGCCAGATTAAAACCGCGATGCGTGTTTCCGTCTGACGTTGTTCTGAAACATAGTAGAAATGTTTGCGAGTTCTCGTCTGCTCTTCTCTTTGCTACCAGCACAAGATGATCTCTGGCCTGAGCGGACATCGAGTCTCCGGAAGATCTCACGAGTATCAGCAGAGTTCCAGCGTTGCATTGCAGCATAAAAGAACCCCACCCCATGTCTTTTTTTGCAGCCAACGTTTATGTCATTCCCCAACTATCTCTGACCACTAACGAGAGCCTGAAGCGCCTCCACATCCAGCCTGCAGATCCAGAGAGAGTTGCCAACAATCAACACCATAATGGATTTCTTTATGACCGTGACAGTTGCATGGTCTCTTTTTATTATTTCAGGAAAACAGCAACAGTTGCTTTTATAGTAACTCATCTGTGTTGAAAGTTATAAAGTGGAAAAACGTCACCCAGTTTGTCCTGCAGTTAAACTAAAATCTGTCCAGGACATCGCTCTCTGTGAATGGACTGTGTACAGTAACACCCCTTCCCTGCCACTAAATGTCGCATTGCCTTTTTTCAATTGCCACCTCACAAGCGATGACACGCTGGAGACTAGGAGTCACAACCCTACATACACACACTCACACACACACACACACACACACATATAATACACTGGCTATCCACTCAGGAAGAGACAGGAGCAGGTGGTAAGCTGGGGGGTACGCTCCAGTTCTGGGTGGGTATTTATAACCTGCATGAGTCGGGGCCGCCACCTCTAAACAGCCGTGAAAAAAGCTGAAAATAGGTGCAGGAATGAAGCGTGTGTGCGTGAGAGCAAAGGAGAGGAACAGACACTTCAAAACCGTCCTCGGCCAATATGAGGTACTTCGTTTCTATCCGCTGCCTCTAAGTCCACCCATCCAGCAGGGAATATGCTTTCATAATTTGGCATGGTGCAAACACATCCATACACACAAGTGATCCGGGCAGCTGAGAGACTTGAAACCACACGTGGGGGGTGGAAAGGAAGGAAGGAAGGCTTGATGCAATACTTTGGCTTCTTTTAACAACACATTAAACTTACATGTAGTGAAATGGATGAGATTCTGACTCTTCTACAGGCTTTATTTGAGCCCTCTGTGAGGTGCTTGTTTTGACGTGTGCCGCTATAAATTTAATGTGGAGAACGAATTGTATTCCGTGCTGTTGGATCTCAAGTTTTCCCAAAACACCGACGTCATTCTTATCAACAAATTAAAAGGTATTTTTCAAAAAGAGAGCATAAGACTCCACTGCTGCTGTTGCTGCTGCTGCTGACTTCCCGGTGAGCCACGGTGCCATTTCACTCCGCCTTGTGGGCAACAAACAAATCCTGGCGCGTAGCCTTGACGGTCGCATCAGCGGGCAACACTTCTTTCCGATTCTATAAAAGTTCAAAGTGCTCGGTCCAAGTCCACGCACGCTCCTAAATAGAACCCAGCAGACAGGAAGGCGGTGAGTCAAATCCAGGCAGTAATTAATACTACTTCCTCTCCATCCTGGAGCCTCCAGAGACATCGTTAACCGTTAAACAAGTGAATCAGCTGCTGTGTGAATTTTTGTCGCAGGCTTATTAGATATGACAACAACTTTACAATACAGCCCCCCCTTGTAAGCGACTAGTAATTATTTAATAAATCAGCTATTAATAAAGCTGTAATACACCATTACTATTGGAGTTACAGGTGAGACAGAAATAATAATAATAATAATAATAATAATAATAATAATAACAGAAATTGTTTTTCATCACTGTGTGAAAAGACTGTCATCTCCCTGGGCAATTACTCATTATTGGTTTATACAGTATTAACCACTTAATTAATTGTTACTTACAAACCAGCTGTAAGGATAGTGTTATTCATGTTGCATGAACTCTTCCCATATAAACCACCAATAAATATTTGGTAAACCAGAGACGGATGAAGATGTAAACCTTATAATCTTTTAATAGAGAGGTATAGACTATTATTTAGCAGGTTGCTACATTATACACCTCTTACCTTTTAATAGCTTATAAAGTGTTACCACCTTAATTAATGACATAATTGTTTATTTTAAAGTGTCAGCCTCATTGGTGCCTTTACAGAAGACTCTACCTGTGAGCAACTAGTAGATCTAAAGCTGTAAGTGGTTTTTGTAAACCTTTATTAAAGCGACATAGTTCATTATTGAAAGGCTGTTAGAGTAGCTAAAAGTGACTGGTGCTTTCATAAATGCCTTAAGAGTTTATAACTGCCTTAATACTTTACAAAGTGTTAATTGCTTAAGTTACTAACCATTAATTCATATTGCCTTGACAAAGGTTGTCTTTGTACCCTCCACTGTACCCTTCACTATCATGAGGAATAAGTTGTCAATACACAAGTTAAGGATCAAGCTCTAATCACCTTATAAGTCATTAATAGAAAGGCATTAGTGCATTGAATAAACAGAGGGAGAGGCTGAAAACATGAAGAGGGAGCTCCACAGAGCAGGATAATGAACTGCACCGACTCTACTTTCGAGACATCCTGAGAACGGTTTGCATTTTTTTGGCCGTGACTGATGTGTGTGATCAGCGACGTGTAGCAATTAAGTTTCAGCTGAAATCCGCTCAAGCCAGACGACTTCACATGCGACCGACCGCCTTGTTCTCCCAAGGCGTCATCAGCTTCACAATATTCACCGACTGATCTCAGTCAAGCTCGACATGCACTTTTTCATTTAGCGAACTCGGGAAACTGCACGATAAAAAGCCAAAACGTTCTTATGTTTGCAGTAAAAAAAAAGAAAAAAAAAAGCCGGTGGTTCATGATGTACCTGTGAAAGCTGAACGATCCCAGGATGCACCTCAGGGTCCGCCTTCACGGGGATTCCTCCTGTATCTGTACCCGGGCCGTCTTCTTTCATCCTGCCGCTGCTGTGCATGCACCCCATGCTTCCAGTTTTCAACTCTTCCCCCTTGTGCCTTTGATTTTCTCTACCCTTATCCACTCCTTTCGCGCCAGCACCACGGTCCGGCCAGCTCTGGATTTATCCTTCTCTCACCGCCTCATGTTTGTTTTCCTCTTCTCCCACATTTTCCTTCTCTCCCTCTTCACACCTCTGCCCCTGAGCTCTGACAGCTTGTCCTGCCTTGAAATCAACCCCAGATGACTTCCAGCTCCCCCGGACTCTCCTCTTACAACCCCTCTCCCCCTGACAGAAGTGTCACTGAGAGTTGACCCTCCTCTCTACCTCCTCCTCCTCCTCCTGCATTCTCCAGCTATCCTCACCCTGAAAGCTCACAGTCACCATCTCTCTCCCCCCTCTCTGCTTTCCACTCAACGGCGCCTCCTTCTTGGGTCGCCCAAAACTCTAAAATGCCCCCCTCTCTTCATGCTGTCGGACCTTTTTGGTTCTCGCCCATCTCGCTCCATCTTGCTGCCCCTCCACAGGGGAGAAGCGGCAGCTGTGTTGTCTTGTAGAGGTCAGATTCTTCCTTTTTTTCTGGCTTCACGTCAGGCCCTCTCATGTTCTTCTTCCTCATGGGGAAGCGTTCAGACAGACCTTCTCGCTGCGGAGCTTCAGCTCATAGATTGAACCTGTTAGGTTCTTCAGAGGCAATATTTCTCCTTTTCCTTCCACTTTTCCATTTTTAATGAGTCTGCAAATGCTCTACATGTAATTAACTTGACCACCGTGCTTGATGGAGCGCATGATACCAACTTTAATGCATTTTTATTCCTTCTGCTTCTCTCCTGTGAAATGAAAACAATGGCAGGCTCTGTGCTTAAACCGAAGATCTGCGTTCCCCTGGCTGGATGAATTCCTCCGAACTCTGGGACTCGCACAGAACCGTATTTCCTCAAAGTGGGTTCCCCAGACAAAATACTGCTGTAAGTCAGAGGTTTTAGGGTTGCGAGGTTTTAAAAAAAAAAAAAAAAAACACCCTCCAACAATAAGCTCTTTCTACAGCCATGTTCTTAGCCCCCAGTCAGATCGTACAAAGCGGTCTTTGGTTGAAAACTGAGACAGATCCAATGGTTGAGGGCTATTTCGGGCTGGAAACTATCAACATGTGTTTGTGAGGGTTTTAAGCTGAGGAATGCTTCTTGTATTTCTGATCTGATGTGAGCAGAGTCAGAATGCACACATTTATTGGCTGGCCTGATTGGGAAGTGCGAAAAAAAAAAAAAAAAAACTAAAGAAAATGAAATCCATCCAACTTGCAATTAATCCACTAGTCCTATGATCGACGGTACCGCTACAAATTCCTTCTGAAACTTTTTCTTCATAATGCATGACCGGACACTTTTCAAAATGAGAAAGACAGTAAGACGTGCAACTAGTTAGGATGCATTTTAATCTTCATAGGTCAGGAAATATAAAGGGATTCAAAGTTCAAACAACTGGAAATGTGAAAAGCAAGAATGATGGAAGACCTGAGTTTATCCTGCCACCATGCCCTGTGAGCAACATGGTCAGGGGAAGAGAAGAAGAAATAGCCAAAGCTCAGATTGGCATCGTTACGGCGCTATAAATCAATGCGCGCCATCTATATGCTAACAGGCTGCTGGGTGGGAAGCATCTTATCCTACCATCACAAATGTACAGTAAATGTGTAGAATTTGGAAACCTGTCTTGGTCAAACATAAACTAGTTGCAGATGATGTTTCCCTCTATTTAATGATTGCACTACATGCTCTCTCTCTCTCTCTCTCTCACATTTTTTTTACACTTTGAACTACAAACTTCTATTTTATTCTATGGTGGAGCAACAAAGTGCTGTTCAGATACATCATTTTGAAGTGAAAGAAAGGCAATTCTGTTCATCATGTCAGTTTAAGACGCGTTTGTATTTGGCATGTTGACAAAACAAAAGTCACATTTTGGACTCATCTGGCAGCTTTCATTCAACACTGATTTCAACAGTTTCTCCTACCTGAGCTGTGGATCTTTGCAGCTCCTCCAGAGTTACCATGGGCCTCTTGGCCGCTTCTCTCATTATTGTTCTCCCTCCTGGAACTGCCAGGCGAGTTGAAACAGTGTTCAAAGCTTTGGATTTTGTTTTCTAAGCCAGCACCGCTTTAAATTTCACAACTTCCTTCCTTGGCCCGTTGGCTATGCCAGTCCTCACGATGCCGTTTGTTCTTTAATGTTCTCTGAGGGCTCCATAGAACAGCTGCATTCAATATCGGAGACTTAATTTCACAATTATTTCATTATTTTAATTGGGTGACTTTTAAAATAAATTGCCTGTTGTCTTTTATTTAAGGGTGGCAAGAAGGGCCAAATGCAAATGATCGCCACATTTTTTTATTTTTATTTTTTTGAAGTACTGTGGATTTGTGCCCATAGGTGTAGAGGAGGATGAGATCCAAGGAACTGGAGGGAGAACTTAATATTCAAATGTCCTGAAACGTTTAATTTTGGGGGGTTTGTATCTGTGGAACGTAATAATCAAAATTATACAAATACGCTAAAATATGTAGGAAATTTACAGAATAAGTTTCACTTTCGGAAATGATAAATAATGTAGAACCGAAATGATAAATAATGTAGAACCTTTCACAATACTAACATATTTTATATAGATGCATTTGTCTACAAATTGTGGCACCCAAATGAGAAGGAGGACTTAAGATCTCCTTCAAGGTCATGATAGGTGGTCTTGATTGCAACACTATTTTTTATATATATATATATATATATATATATATATATATAATTTTTTTTTTTTTTTTGGGGGGGGGGGGGGGGGGGGCCCAAATTTTTCCTTCCCTCTTTTATTTGCCACTCCTAACAAACCCCA